CAGTTGGACATCCCAATAGATAATTCACATCTCCTACATGCCACCACGCGCCATGCAGAAGCTGGGGGGGCATTTGTGGGAACCGAATTAAATCACCCTAGGTCAAATAATTCCTTCCATTTGGTGATTATTTGCCCTAATTGGGAGTTACTCAATTTAATTGGGAGTTACCCAATTAAATTGGCAATTACCTAATTAAAATGGGGATTGATTTGATTCCTACCCTAATTAGGGATTTGATTTAAATCAGATAAATCAAATCCCTAATTAATCAAATCTCGCCTAATAGGGGAGGAATAATTCCTTTCCATCTACGGAATTATTCCTCTGAAACCCTAGCCTCCGAGGCTCCTATAAATACCTAGCTACACACAAGGGTTAAGGTACGTCTAAATTCCTACTGAAACTCTGCAGAAATTATCCTTCAGAAACCCTAGCCACCATCTTCTTTCTCTCTCTCTCACACACAAGGCTCCGGCCTCCACACACGGCTCCGGCCACCCGGTTTTCCTTGAAACACCCATCCTAACTTAGGCATTGGAGGGCCTTTGGCCAACACCCCCCGGGTGTGGTCCTTTTACTCCGATCTATTTTGCAGGGAGAGAGAGGTGCGGAAAAGACGAAGGAATCTTTAGGCGAATATTCCCGTGGGAGGAAATTTGCTCCCACATTATGTTTCAATATTTTAGGTAAATTTGGTGAGGTTGAAACAATAGTTTTTACCAGGGCAAATAATTTTTTTTGTGACTGGTTTGGTTGATTTTACTGGTTTGGGAGCCGTTCATTTTCAAAGTTGGATCAATCATGGATTTCTTTGTCTTGTTGAATCTTCACCATTTGGTGTCACTTTCATTCTACCCGTCACCAATAATCATTAAGATTGATTTGTATTTATTAGTTTGTTTCTTGTTCTTGTGGTTGAGATGCATTTCCAGTAAACATCACAGACTTCAATGGCACTAATAAATTATGACAGAAATGTATATTCTCTAAAGTTGTCGACTTATTTTTATTTTATTTTTCTAAGCTCCTATAATCCAAATCCAGAAAAAAAGAAAAGCACTTTTACAGCTTTTGAACAGAAAAGCATCTGTCAGCGGCTTGCCCATTGCCCTTTAGATATTTTGAAGTAGAAGCAAGTTGTAACAGTTGTTAGAGGTTAGTTTTAATAATTACGATCATATAAATGGGAGATTTTGTTGGTAGATATGATTGACTTGTGTTTACGTGGTGGTTTGGCCATACCTAATACCAATAGTAAATAGTTGTTCAAAAAAGTTGATTTTTTAAGTCACAGATTCCCCAAGTACATAGACTTTTAGGGCATTCCAGCTTGCAGATGAAGAAAAGAAAGTACAAGAGAGATGACACTGATCGATTACCTGTGACATTAATCACTGCATATAACTTATCATATCTTTCCACACAAAAAATAAAAATCTTCTGTTTTGTACATTACTCGCGTGGAGCAGACGATGATCAAAATAATTTAATTTAATGAAGCTCACTCACTAAAGCAGATACATTATGTATGCTAATTAGCTTTCATAAGACTATTGAGATAGATCCAAATTTGGGAAAAGTCTAGGAAATAATGGAGCATAATAAAATCCCTTTTTTCTTTTGTTCTTTTTTCTTTTTGAATCTGTCATCTTCTACTTTTCTTCCATCTCTCTCTGTCTTGTAACACCATAACTTGTATTGTATGGTTGCACGTGGTCCATGACAGAGATGTTAGTTTCGTGCTTAGAATGATCAACAGCTTAATGTGTGTGTGGGCAGGTGGTCTCAACCGAGGCCAGAGCAATGTACAATGTGGGATTGGCAGGATTGACATATTGGTCTCCAAACATTAACATATTTAGGGACCCCAGACGGGGGAGAGGTCAGGAGACTCCGGGAGAAGACCCGTTGCTGTCGAGCAAATACGGGTCGAGTTATGTTAGAGGCCTTCAGCAGACAGATGGTGGTGACAAAAATAAGCTCAAGGTTGCTGCATGTTGCAAACATTATACAGCTTATGATTTGGACAAGCATCTCATATTATTAAAATAAATTTATAAACACAAGGGATGGCCAAAACGTTCCTGGAAAACATTCAAACATCATGCTCTCTGAAAAAAAAAAATTTCAGTCAATATCACAAGAATACTATAACTGGTAAACCTGGAGAACTTGGCGGGGTTGAAGGAACAGAAGAAGGTGGAGAGGCTGGAAGAGCCTTCAGAAAAGGGTTATTGTTGTAACTGCAAAATGAGGAATAATGTTAGTGAGTACATCATTTACATAAGCCTTCCAAAATAAAAAGAATAAAATAGCCTCTACAAACCTGATGGGAGTAAAAAGTGAAAAAGAACCATTGACCGGAATATCACCAGTCAGATTGTTATTTGAAAGATCCCTGCATTCCATGTAAAAAAAAACTTTGTTATTTGCATTCTCTGATGGTAGAGAAACTAGTAACTCTTCTCTCTCTCTCTCTCTCTCCCCTTCTTATTGAGATGAAAAGGGTAGAAAACTCACAGGACTTGCAACGATTGAATCTTAGTCAAAGCCATGGGAATATTCCCCGTCAAGCTGTTGTTGTTGAGACGCCTATTTCATGGAACAGAAACTGTTATATCCCCAATAATTCCAATGACAACATATATTGTATTTCTTACACATCACTATTCAATTTTTTCCAAGGAAATGATAAATAGACTGTAAACGAAGTTTTATGGGTTTTTTTTTCTTCACGTGTTTCTTGTCACATTCAAACGCTAGAAGAATGTGCAAGTCATGCGTGCACATAGTGTTGAAACAAACTACACATTCTGCAGGATCCTTCACTGGTTAGATAATATGAATCTAGTAATTGTTACTGCTTAAGATACCAAGGATTAAAGCACAGCATTTCTGGGAAATCAATAGATTCTCTTTTTAACATACTCAGTATTCAGGAAAATAAATAAATCTCCCTAACGTCTGCATGCCCAGCAAAGTGAAAGTTGTTGAGAAGCCAAAAAGAGAGCATGATAATTTTCCTATGATAAACCTAAGAAAGATCACAAGGATGGCTCGAAAACTAAATTGGAAATTATAGTACTCCAATTAAAACTCAATGTTATACTACTATTTGCAATATAAAAGATTGCGATCAGATAGAAACACAAACTGGAATACTCTTACTAAATATAAGCTTATCATCATACTTCAGACTAAAACTCCATGAACTCAATTACTAGCACAAGCAGTCTCTTTTAGATAGTTGATGGAATTATTTAAGACTTCTTCTGCATCAACATTTCCGGGGATAGAGAACTAAGAAACAAAACACTCAAAAAGAGCTAAAGAAATTCATGACAGGGCCTCTTCAAGCTATTATGTGCCATGATTAACTGGCAACCTGGGGTTTCATAATCATCAAGGTAGAAAACGGAATGGCAAAATGCTATGGGAACTTACAATTTTCTTCCTTTCCTATTAGGACCTTCTTTAGAATATTTACACCACTGCTTTTAGCTTAATGCTTCTTGCATTTAAAGTTCCAGTCACATCCATATTAGCTTTACCGAGTGAACTATTACCTTCTTTAGAATCTTGATACCAGGCATCTTGCCTTAAGGGTTCCAATTACTTATTTGTTTATGTTTTTTGTCCTTTTGCGTATTGTTGACCTGTTGTATATTATTTTCCTTATGCTAATTTGTTTTAACTCCACCTTGATGCCTTAACTACAGTGGCACAATATTGGTAGATCATAGTCAACCTAAGTAATCTTTTGGGTTCAACCTAGATGCTATCATGCACTCTAAGGATGAATGTTACTGAAGGAATAATTGAAAACATTACATTAGCATATTGAATAAAACAAACAAATGCAAGATATATTTATTTTCTTTAAACCACAACCTAAACCCTCTAAATCCAAAAGGAAAACCATATTTGTCAGTGGACAAGTCACATAATAGACTGTACGGGATGCATTCAGAGAAAGCATAATCAATCAGAACATAAATAAATGAATCCACCAACTAAAGAATGAAGACAATTTGTTAAGAAAAAACAAAGAATGTAGACAAAGGATGCGGGTTCATACAGGAAACGTAGTTTTTCTAGCTTGGAAAGTGTGTCGGGAATGGTACCACGTAAACTGTTCAAGTAAAGATCCAAGCTGACCAAGTTTGTCAAAGTTCCAAGCTCTGCTGGAATGTTTCCAGTTATGTTATTACTATAAAGTTCCCTGTCAATGGAAGTAGTGAATCGATGGATCAGTTTTTCACTTTTTAAGGTAAGATTCCAATTTCAATTTGGATGCATATTGATGGAACTTTAGATAATACAAGGACAAACAAGTAGACTCAAAAACACACTTACAAGTACTGCAAGTTGGAAAGAACACCAAGTTGTGACACCAATTGACCAGAGAGATTGGCATTGCCAAGATCACTGAATGAGCGCAAATGTTAAAAACAAGAAAAGCATGTCATTAGTCTTTTTTTCTTTTTCTTTTTTTTCTCCTTTTTGGGTATTTCTCTTTTTCTGGGTTTGCTTAATAAACAGAAGGAAATGAATTGAATGGATGAACTGAAAGAAACAAGTGAAATGAAGTGTTTTTTAGCTGCTTACACTCGCGTAACGCTGTTTTCGCTATTACAAGTGACATGAAACCATGTACAGGGGTTGACGAGAGTGGGATCCCAACTTTGGAGAACATTGTTAGGATCAACTAAATTGCTCTTCAACGCATTCAATGCGTCACCTGTCTCCAAGGAAATCAAATCAGTCATTCATTCATCCAAATTCCCATAACCAAACAAAAACCCAAACACACACAACACACGAAGAAGAGACCTTCAACGTTTCCAGAGAGTTTAAGGAGTTGAAGGAAACCAAACAGAAGAAATAGCCAAACAGAAGCAGAGCCCGAGGTGGTGGACATCACTGCGTCCATTTCCCTCAAAAATTCCAGGAGCTCAGCTCAGCTCAGTAGCCTCAGCCTCTTCATAAACGAATCCCTAATTCTAATTCGAATTCAAAGTCTAATAATTGAGGAAGCAGCTGGCGTTGACCGATCAAAATCTGGAGCATCTCTGGGTTTGACGTCGTTGACCCAAAGTCTAGAAATTTCCTTCTTCTTTTTTTATTTATATTTTATTTCTTTATTTCTATTATGTTTTTCTAATGTTTATAATTATTTTATTCATTTGTTTTTGGGCCTTGACTGAGGCTTGCTGTTGGACTTGATGAGAATAACGATGCCCAGTTGAGAGTGAGAACGTGGCGAAATTCTATAGTGAGGGTGCTATATATGAACTCTTCATGTGGACCTTTTATATTAGCCACATGATCATTAAATTAAACTTAAGTGAAGTTACTATTCAGATAAATCATGTGGCTAATATGAAGGTCTATATCTATAGTCCATATATGGCACTCTCACCACAGAATGACTATAAGAACGTGTTGTCTGGAGTCAAAGGTCTGGCGATCAAGAAAGGTCCTAAGTTCGATTTTCCATTCCTTCAATATCGCTTTTTGTATAAAATAATAAAGTATGGAGATCAAGTAAAAGAAATATGTGGATCAAGCATTATTTGACTACAAGAGCATAAAACAATGGAGTCAATTTTGAAGTACTTCAGACTCCAAGCAATTCAAATCGACTCTAGAATGGATTCCTAATCTAATTCAGTCATTCAAGCACTATATAAGACTACTCAAATTTAGAACCATAGATACGACTTTTTCAACACAAGTCAACTCAAATTTTAGCATATTTCTTTTAGATCACAAATCGGTTCCAAAGAGATTTCAAGCCTGCTTAAGGCTTCTTGATTCAGAACTCGGCATGCCCCAATCAAAATTTCTTCCTACTAGTTTGGGGTGATTTCTTTTTACTTTCTTAAGTGATATCTAGCAGTATATAAATGGCTTTTATCATATTCAAAGAGAATTTAAGTCCTTATTGCTTTTAAGGCATGGAAAATAACCCATATCTAGCTAGATCTCTACCTAATGCACATTGGCTTGGTTAGAAATCAGTTACTTGAGGCACAATCAATCACAAATTATATATTATATTGAGTTCTTTTGCAATATCAATAGTGGCATGCTCACGTAAGTTAACTAGAGCTTGCTTCCATCGATGTCTAAGGCTAGGTAGTTGTTTAGCAAACATCTATTTTTGGCACACCCAATGGATCGAGCTTTATTTTACCCGTGTTTGAGTTTCCAAGAGTACTTATAAGCCTAAAACACCCCGAAAGAGTGTTGAATTTGAGGGAGTGCTATGGTTATCTTCAATGGCACATTGGGACATTATTGGCAAGAAAAACGTCATCTCTATAGAGAGTTCCCATAGAGAAGAGCAATGGGACAAAACCTAAGTACGTTGGGGTTGCTATGTTGACTTTTCTATATCACAGAACTGACGGGAAGGATAAACCAGGTGTTGGAAGGATATTATTTGAGTTTGAACTTGGTGCTGAGAGTGTGACTAATATTAAATCGTTACTCTAATTAGGATTGAATCAAGATTAAACTCGGGTTGGCACCAGAGGCTAGTATTGTGGGAGCTAAGGATCCACAAGTTTAGCAAGAGAAAAAGTATGCATGAAATTCCTTGTACTTTGATTGTGCTTGGACTTTTGGACAGTGGTTCTCACCTGGATGTTGGGCACTGTGTTTTATAAGGGCTGAAGGCAGGACTAATGATACGAGAGGAGATGGAGTTGAGGAACTAACAGAACCAATAATCGAGTTTGAAAGGACCATTGCTCCTAAAAATTATGCAACTCGATTGCTTGTGTGCATGTGAACTTTCATTTGCGGATTCAATCAGTAGATGTTGCTAGTACTCATTCATTAGGTAATTAACTGCAACATTGGAAAGGATTTTGATATATCGATCAAGTTGTACTCAGGAAACCAAAAACCCAAAACTAATACTGGAATGGAATGTCAGATGCATGAAATGAAGAAGAAATAATATCCAGCACAACAAATCTTTTGATCCTCCTGCTCAGATCGGTGACTTTGCAAGATGAAATTTTGATTGAAAAACTGATCTGTCAATGAAACCTTTTTTTATTTTATTTATTTTAATACAAGCGGATATTGGGGGAGGGGGGAATCGAACCTAGGACATTGAGTGCAGGCTAAATGCTCTTAAGCACTTGAGATACAATCCCCTTGTGTCAATGAAACTTTTTAAACATTGCAGGCACTGTACAACTAATACAACTTTAAAACGGATGTTATTCAATAACTAAACACAAATTACAGCAGATAATCACAAATTTACAGGAGATGCGACTATTTTCTTTAATTGATGCTTCCTGACATGTGAGATGAAGCCAAAGCAGACTCTTTAATCCCCAATACCTAAAAACTTACTCCGGCAAAAGTGGGCATTCTTCTTTGTAAAAATAAAGTTACGGATATTAAATCAGTATCAATATCTCTAGAAATCTGCAGATTCAATGCCTGCTTCAGCTTCAGTCAAGCTTTCGTCATTCTCAACCAACATATAGTCACAAAGCTCTAAGAGCTGATCTGCGAGAGGAGGTATACCTGGATTACGCCCATCATTATATTTGTGAGCATTATAAGTTATCTGCCACACATCGTGCCTGAATTGCTCCCTGCTCTTGTACTCCATTTTCCTCACCTTCTCCCTGATTGTAGACAGATCCATGGGGCGCTCTATGATGTCCAGGTAATCAGGAGCTTCCTTTTTGGATACTGGTTTAAGAAAAAGATACGATACTTCAATTCGATCTTTGAGGGTTTCTATAATACGCTCCAAGATGTTTGCCAGACCAACCTGTAGAAAAAGTAAGAAGATAAATAAGAAAGTTTTGTACAGTATTACATAGGATATTTGTTATTATACAAGCCTCTTGGAGGTTAATGTGAATATTCGTATACCATCTGTGAACACTGCAATCTATTGATAATGACACACTGTAATTTCTTACAACAAAGAAATTACAAAAGTCATTGGCACCTTTGGCTGTGCATTAATTCATTGCTTGGTGTATGAGAGTTTAGCTTGCACAATTTCAGAAAAGAACAATGGGCCCTTCTCTTCCGCATTTTGTTTTATTTTATCTTATGTATTAGAACGAGCATTATCTCATCCCATTCCTATTCTAGGTTAGTAAATAAATCAACTCCAAGAAAGATACGGGAAAAAAGAAGGATGTTTGTCTTAGCACATAAACTTGACAGGATTTCTCACCAACGACCCATAAAAACTACATAAATAAACTCCCCCAAAAAGTGATTCGTAATTGCTTCTACTCTGTTTACTGTTTTATTTGAGATAAATGTGTTTACTGTTTTATAAGTACAGAGGAACACTAAGTCACACCACAAACAAAACTCTACCAAATAAATTTTAATTAAAAGTCAGTGTGAGCCCACTGGAAAAAAATTAATAATTCTAAAAGAATAGTTGCAATTCATAGTGGGTAGACTGGGATTGTCCATTTCGACTGATCTATTCCTAAATTTTATCCTGGCGTAGGCGGTGAACTACTACATATTCTAGAATGAATCCGCCACCAGTTGTAATAAAGGTGGCATGTGCGGGGAAAATCTGAATGAATGAAAGTAACTTGAAGATAAGCTTGAACACATTACCTCTCCCCCTCTACGACGCTTTGTTATCGGGGCAGATTCTCCACCATACCTTCCCAATTCAACAACTGGCCTCCTTTTTGCACCCCGATCTCTTTCTTGCATCCTTTTGTCAGATCTTCTTGCTCGTGAATCCTCTATATAATCCTCCTTTATCTCAGGCCTTTTCTTCTTCTGTTTGTTCTTCTTTGCTTTCTGGCGTTCTTCTTCCTCCCTCTCTTGTCTGATGACTGCTTCATATCTTCTAATCTCTGCTAGTCTTTCTTGCTCCTCTATCATCCTCATTTCCTCTTTGTAAAGCCTCCTGGCCCTCTCTTCTCTCAATCTCTCTTCATTTCTCCGTTTCTCTTGCTCCTCCCTTGATCTCTTATCATCTCTAGCTTTCTTTTTTGCAGCTTCCTTAGCCAAATACATGTTCTCTTCCTTCCTGTTCTTTTCAGAACTTGTCAATTCAACAATTCTTTTAGTTTTCCTATGTTCAACAGGAGTACTCCCATCCTGACTGACCTGATCTATATCAATAATTTCTTTTGGACGTTTAATTATAATTTTCTTATGATGTTGCTCTCTCTGTGCCTCCATTGATGGTCGTTTAGCAATTAAGGGCTTTTGGGATTCCACCTGGTCTCTATCTGTATTTGCAGGTGGCCGTATAACAATAGTTGGCTTTTGTGATTTGACATGGCCCTTATCTGTATCTGTGGGAGGCCGTATCACAATAGGTGGCTTCTGAGATTCAACAGGTGCATTTTCAGGTTTCATCTTGTTCGATATTATTATCTTGTTCACCTTAAAAGTGGGCTTCCCAGTTTCCGGATCAGATGCCACCGGACGTTCAGAGCTCTCTGTCTCTCCAAGAGCCTGTTTATCAGGAAGCTTTTCAGTTGACCCACATTTGAATTTCAATGGAAGAACCTTTGTACTCAGACCAACGTCAACATCGGAAGCTTCAACCACGGCAATTTTAGTTGCACTTTTAGGTACCAGCTTCTTTGTCGTAGTTTTCTGCTGAGCCTGATTAGATGGATTCAGAGCAGTGATCTTTCCATCTGTTTTATCCAGATCTGGAGTGTCACTGTGTGTTTCCTGATCTTCGCCATACTTGGGGCAGTTCTTGTTTGTTCTCATGTGTCCAGCCTGGGCCATCAAAAAGGTAAACAATCAGTATTAAATTATTAGTCACACTATTTAGCAGAATATTACCAAAACTCTAAACTAAACTTATCTGAGTTATATACCTGATGACATGCTCCACATATAAATTTCTCTCGTGCTGATTTCTTCTCCTTATATGTCTGAATTCAAAGAGGTAGTCAAATTAAGAACGATTTCTAAGCGGGGGAAAAATACAAATATATGACACATTCCACAGATCCGAGAATCATTAGCACATAGTAAAGTTGATGGGAATGTACAACAAATAAGAATAACAGTATTACACATTATTGCCTCCAAAAGGCAGCCAGACTGTCTTGTATTGGTTATCAA